CCTCTAGGTACCCTGTGATCTAGTAATGCCGTCCTCCTTGCTGTTCTTTGAACAAAACACAAAACACTCCATCTCTTGACTCCATGCATTTCCACTGGCTATCCTCCATGTCTGGGATGCTCTTCTTCCTTATTTCTACCTCCTTGCTTCCATCAAATTTCAACTAAAATCCCACCTTCCACAAGAAGCTTTATTCAGTTCCTCCTAATTTTAGTGCCTTCCATCAGAGATTACCTCCAATTTGTTCTGTAAGTCTCTTGTTTGTACAGATTTGTTTACACGTTGTCTTCCCCTTTACCCTGTGAGCTCATGAGGACGGGGACTCTTTTTGCCTTTCTTTGTATCCCCAGTGCTTAGCACAGTGCCTGGCACACAGAAGGTTCTTAATAAGTGCTTGTTGACTTAACTTGCTTATGAAAAAAGCTTGTCTCCCTTACCCTCTTCCTAAAAAGTCCTTTGTTGCTCCTGCCCACTTCAACTTTCTCACAACCCATTCATTCTCTAACTCTCTGCAAGCTGGCTTCCACCCTCACCACTCTGTTGAAATTATTTACTCCAGAATCACCAATGATCTTCTAATACTCAAATCCAGCAGCTTCTTCTGAGACCTCATCCTCCTTGACCTTTCTGTGGCATTCAACACTGTTAACTGTTAACCAATTCCACCTTCTTCTGGATACTTTCTTTTTTCTTTAATTCCAAGACAACGTTCTTTTTCAGCTTTCCTTTTTCTCTGACTACTCCTCACTCTCCACTGGTTCCTCCTGCCCACAACTTGGACATCCCCCACAGCTCTGTCCTTGGCATTCTACTCTCCTCTTCCTTGGCAATCTCATCTGCTCATAAGACTTTAATTGTCACCTCTCTCTAGATGACTCCCAAATTTTTGTCTTCAGCTTCTTTCTTTTCCCTGAACACCAGTCAGACAAGCACCAGTTGCCTAAAGGATGATACATCTCACTTGAATGTCCCACTAACACCTGAAACTCAACAGATCCCCAATGCATCAACTTTTCCACAAAACTGTCACTCTTCCCTCCCTATTACCATTAATAGCACTGCCATCATTCCAGTCATGCAAACTCCAAACTTCAGACTTATCTTTCCCTCCTATTCCTCTTTCACCTTCTATATCCTATCAGTTGTCAGGTCCAATTGATTCTACCTCCAGAGGATCTCTTGCATTTCTCCATCCCTTTAGTATCATAATGCCATTCTAACACAAACTCTTATAATCTTTTGTTTGGAAGACTGGAATAGCCACCTTACCAGTCTCCCCAACCACCACAGACACACCAAAGTAACCTTGACACACAGCTCTGACTCTACAAATACACACATATATATGTGTGTGTGTGTACATATATATATATATACACACATATACGTGTGTGTGTATATACATACATATATATATATACACATATATGTGTGTGTGTATATACATACATACATATATATATATATATGAATATATAAAAAAATACACATACACACATATCTCTACTGTCTGTGGAATCAAACACAAACTTCTTAGCCTGACATTCAAGGATGTATGCAAATTGTCTCTAACTTAACACTATTGGCCTTTTTTCAAAGTATTCCTCTTCAAGCACTCTCATTCTTTAGCCAAACATTTTTCTATTATCATCCTGCCTCTTTTCAGTAGTACATGCAATCTCCCATGCCTCAAAGGACCTCCTCCCACATCTCTTGCCTGTTGAAAATTTTTCTTTCTTCATATGCCAGGTCAGGTACTTTAGCCTTCCCTCTACCTAGAAATGATTCCTTCCTCCTCAAATCAAATCAAAATATAATTTTCATATCATATCATACCATATTATTCTAACTTGGGTTACAGTTATTTTGTCAGTCTACCTTAACCGCTAAAGAATGGTAATTTCCGTGAGGGTAGCCCTTTTGTCATTTTCATCCTTTTTTAAAAAATCCCCAATACTTAAATCATATCTGACTCTCCATGACCCCATTTTAGGGTTTTCTTGGCAAAGATACTGAAGTGGTTTGCCATTTCCTTCTCCAGCTGATTTTACAGATTAGGAAACTGAGGCACACAGAGTTAAGTGACTTGCCCAAGGTCACATATAAGACTCTAAATAAATGTTCACTGAGCTAAATTGAGTCAAAATAGAATTCTCTGAATTTCTTTTCATTTCTGGAATGCTATCTTCTAACTACTTAATGACAGTGAAAGCTAATCAGATTCATTAAGGCTTTTTTAAAAAACATTATAAGAAGTTCTTTGTTTGAATCAGTACACCGAGTACAGGGACTGTTTTCATTTCAAAAACTCTAGCACCTAGCACAGTGCCTGGGACTGAGAAGGCATCTAATGAATGTTGTTCTGTTTTTTTGAGACGGAGTCTCTCCATGTCACCAAGTAACTATAACCCAAGTTAGAATATGATAAGTTGTATCAGGGGAGGTCAAGCCGTTTTTTTTATTTGAGGAGGAAGGAATCACTTCTAGGATGAAGCACCTGACTTGGGATATGGAGGAAGAGAAAAATTTCAACAGGAAGGAGATGTGGGAGGAGGCCTTTCAAGGCATGGGAGATTGTGTGTACAAATGAAGAAAGGCCAGATAATATTAGGAAGGTAGACAGACCACTCATTGGCCCAATCTCACCACTGATCAGCATGGTAGCTTTGGCCTATTCAATTTCTGCCCTGTGGCTATTCACCTTTCCCTGGTCAGTTCAAGTCAGCTTGGCAGCCCTCCATTCTCAGGGCTTCCCATATTGGTGTTGGACACCTGCTTAGTTTTTGCCCTACTATACCTCGGAATTCCCAAATTCAAGCAATTCACCAGCCTTAGCTTCCCCAGCAGCAGGGACCACAAGCGTTCTCTACCATGTCTGGCCTAATAAATGCTTGTGGGTGGAATTGAATTATTTTTCTGATGGAAAAGTGGTCTTTCAACTTAAAATACTATTTTAAACTAAAATATTTGATTTATTTTCCCAACTAAAATCCTGCCTTCTAAAAGAAGTCTTTCCTAACCCCTCTTAATTCCAATGTCTTCCCTTTGTTATTTTCTTATTTATCCTGTATATAGCTTGCTTTGTAGATATTTGTTTGCATACCATCTCCCCGATTAGATTGAAAGCTTCTTGGGGGCAGGGCCTGTTTTTGCCTCTTTTTGTATCCCCAGCACTTATCACAGTGCCTGGTACATAATGGGTGCTTAATAAATATTTATTGATAGATTGATTACCCTCAGGAAAGGTGTGAGCCTGAAATTCAAGAGTTTAATGAGGGCTTCATCCAGGCTATCCTGATGCTTATCATTCCCACCATTCAATAGAGCTGGGAAGGCAAGAAATCCTCCCTGCTTCTCTGAGCCTTTATGAAGTAGCTTCATTCCTTGTTGGAAATGTTACAAATTCCTAGATCCAACATGTCCATATTTAAAGAGAAGCATATTTCAAAGCCAAATATAAATGACTTTGGATTGTCTATATGACATTCTCTTCTGCTAGAACAGATCATCAGGGTCTTATTATAAACACATTCATCTGTATTGATATTTCTATGCCAGCCCCTATGTCCATTTCCTGAGTTTCTTTCCTGTCTCCTTTATTAAACTGGGGGCTTCCTGTGGGAAGATCTTGTTGGCTAAACAAGGATGGGGATCTTTTCTGCCTAATAGGCTGTGTTCTCCCTAGGAACAGAACTATATTTCCTGTTTCTACTAATTTCCTTTTTTGTTGTTCTTCAGTCATTTCAGTTGTGTCTAACTCTTCCTGACCCCATTTTGGGTTTTTCTTGGCAAAGGTACTAGAGTGGTTTGCCATTTCCTTTTCCAGCTCATTTTACAGATGAGGAAACTGAGGCAAACAGGGGCAAGTGACTTGCCCAGGGTCCCACAGCTAGGAAATGTCTGAGGCCAGATTTGAACTCAGGAAGATGAGTCTTCCTGACTCTGGGCCTGGCACTCTATCCACTGTGCCACCCAGCTGCCCCTAATTTCTTATCAGTGCCCAATATAGGGAGACAGAGAGAGGTATGCAGGATAAGGTAGTGACTGAGAGGAGTAGTGAGTCAGATTGGAGTTGGTAATAGAACCCAGGTCTCTTGCCTTCTGAAAAATGAGTGTAGCTGCCAGATCCTCACCTTGGCTGGCTAGATTTTGAAAAATCCTTATGCTTCTTAAAATGATGTCCAGTCACAAAATGCACATTCCCTTCATCTTCTCTAGCTAACCTCACCCAGTTCAGAGCCCTGTGGGGTCTGCCAGCAACAAACATATCCAGAAGACCCTGCAGAGAGTCCCAGGGAAATTCCACACAGAGAGAAGAAAAGACAAGAGTTCAATTATTAGGAAGTTTTTTCAAGCTTAGTTAACTGAATGATTTCCCAGAAGTTCAGGTCATCTGCCACCCTATAGCCCAGGGCTAAGTAGGGGCCAGTACCCAGTGAAAGGGCTCCCTCCCAAGGGGAACCATTCAGTTCCTCCAACCTGTTGGTGCCACTCTTCTAACAATACTGAAGGGAGCTATAGCAGCAGCCCAGAATTGGGTTTGGGGAGTCCTTCTTACACAGGTCTCTCTGATTTTCTCTACTTACAGGTTCACAGATTTAGAGTGAGAAGGAACCTGAGAGGTTACAGCCAATCTAATCCATTTTATAGATGAGAAAACGAGGCCCAGGGAAATCGTGATGTGCCCAAGGTCTCACAGCTAATAAGTAGCAAAGCTAGGATTCAAACCCAGGCCTTTTGACTCTCCATATCCAACACATTCCTCTGTCTCTCAACATACTTAACCCCTTTTCCTGGTCCTTCTCCCTCTCCCAGGGTCACACAGCTAGTGAGTATTATGTGTCTGAGGCTGGATTTAGCTGTCCCTCTCCCCCATATTCTTCTCCTTTCTTCCACACATTGTTGCTTCACAGTCTAGCACTGAGCTCACTCCCATGCCCCTCATGCCCTGGGAGCTCTACCCTACCCCTCCCATTTTACTGTCTTCAGAAGATACTGACCACAAGCTCTGCAAAGCGGGCATTGAGTTCCTCTGCAGGGGGGATGGGGCTGGAGAACTCCAGGAACTGCAGCGGGTGGTTGTCCCGGAGGTTGATCTCAGGGATGTCATTGCCCCCAAAGCAGCAGAGAAAGCCCAGGCCATGACGACTCCTCTTCCAGGGAGCCATGGTCAGTTGGGGCACTGTTATCTATTCATCGTGATCTGAGAAAGAGAGAAGAGGGGATATGTGAGAAGGCTCCTAAGCTAAAGTGTACCTGGGATCATAGATCATCACCAATCACCAAAGGTTTTTTATCTTATGCATTGCCAGGGTCTCTAACTTGAATGCCACATGGCCATCCTTTCAGCAAATCCAATTCTTCATTGAGGATGCAAATATAAAAGTGAGACAGCCCCTACCCCCAAGGAGATTATATTTTAATAGAGATAATATACATAGTAGTGGTGTCCAAGGAAGGAGATTTCTGGGGAGTTACAAGGATGACGAGTTTATCCAAAAAGCACTCAACTAATAGGGTCTTTCTAGGGATAATGGTTACATGGTACCATTGATTTGATTACTGAACTCACAAATGCCTCCATTCAAAAAGATATTTTTACCTCATTACCCTGTTTCTTGCAATAAACAAACTCAGAATTCTTCATAAAACAGGGCCCAATGGAAATCCTTCAAAGCAGGTAAAGAAAGACATAGGATTTATATATATATATATATATATATATTTAAATTGGCTATCCAATTTCCATTGAAGTCACTGATTGATTCATTTTGAAATTCCTGAATTGGGGATGATTTTTAGTGGGATGGTGATGGGTCTAGAGAGGTTAGTGAAAAAGGGGGTTGATTTTGAAATATGGTTCCTGGAACAGTGTCCTTCCTCACCACACTTCTATCTAGTATGAATGGACTATGGGGATGGGGACTCTAGCAGTTTCATCCAAGTATGTTTTGGTACTAAAGGATACTTTCATTAATATCAAACATCAGATGGCCCCGAACCGACTCACTCTTTTTTGTTAGTCAGCTCTCTGCACTGAGCATTCTTTGTATATAAAGCCAGGTGATAGGTTAGATAATACATAGAGTAAAGAAAAGATAGTGTCCCCATACTTGAGCTACTAATCTGATAGGAAAACCATGGTTCCTGCCTACAAGGTGCACCCAGAGTGATAGGAGAATGAAAGCCTTTGAATAGTTCCCAGAGGTAACCAGGTGGTACAAACACCCAATAGAGTTCTGGGCCTAGAGTTAGGAAGATTTGAATTCAGATCTAACCTCAGACACTTACTAGCTGTGTGTAACTCTGGACAAGTTATTTGACCTTTGTCTGCCTCAGTTTCCTGAACATTACTAAAACGGGGATAATAAAATCACATACCTCCTCGGATGATTATAAGGATCTGAAATGGAAATTGGAAATTCCCCTTTAAATTAATAAGATCACTCAAATAAATAGGTTCAGTTCAAATCTCGGTCATGACCGTTCCATATCTCCTGAGTGTTCTTGGCCTAGCATTCCAGGAACTAGCCATTCCTAGGTCACGTTGACATGGAGGGTTGGCTCCTCTCCTTGTGAGACGTGATGTTATTAAAAAACAAAATACCAAGCCTCAGGCGGATGGGAGCGTGGCTAAGGTCAGATGTGTATTGGACAAACCATGAATAGCGCAAGCATCAAAAAGGGGTTCTTGGCCCCAAGCCTTCTTTGTTTAGAACAATATAAAAACACTGCGTCCTGTAAGCCCGCGAGCCTCACCCGCGGAAGGACGCTTCGCCCGGGAAAATCTTTACACATTTCAAGTTTGTACTGGCTGCAACGGGGCTCCCAGCCGTTGATTGACTTTGGAGGTTCCCTTGAATTGGTGATGTATTCTCTTCCATTACCGACTCTCTTGATCGGTGCTATATTATTGATTGTTCTTATTATTTATGCTTTCTATGCAAATTCAAACTATCTGTGCTTTGCTTCTTCTAAATAAATTATCTATTTCCTATTATTTTCTGGTGCATTGGAGAGTGTCATTTATAGGAGCGAATCCGAACCTCACTAAATCCTATTAATACAAAATTGGCGTCACGAACAGGATTCGCTGTATAAATGCCTTTCTTTAAGAGAAATGTTGAGCCCCGGGCTCCGGTAGAGGTCCCCGGTTGGGAGGACCCTCCGTTTTCCTCGCTCGCAAAAACCTGGTCACAGTGTACAGGACCTAGTGAGGATTGGGGGTGTTGGGGGTTCTCGTTTGGGGTGCGACGGATGGGCCGGTTGCCAGCAGGGATAATGGGGGGATACGACCAGTACATCATTTCCCTCCCTTTTGGGTTGTTTGCAGCCAGACAGCCAAAGGCTGCAGCAGGACTCTGAAAAGTTGCCTTCATTCTCCCCCTCTCCCTCCCCAGGTAACAGCAGCTTCAAAGCAGTGCGTGGATGGGAGAGGGAAAGAGAGAAGAATACTTTATTACTTAGGTTATATGGTTGGTAGAGGGCAAGTTGGGAAGGATTGTTGAAGTGTTAGGTCAGAATTAGAAAGGAATGAGATATGTACAGGTTTTAAGGGGATTTTAAATCATTAGAAAGAAAGGCAAGGAAGTTTAAGCATGTAGGAGAGAGGAGTGTGTGTAGAAAATTTGAAGGGTGAGTAAAAGGAAAGTGCATGCTGTAATAGCTGTAGCAAATATGAATTGGGACCCTGATACTTGGGAAGGTGATATTTGGGATGAAGATGATGATAGGTGGGGGGAAGTAATAGAGGAAGATGTTCCGGATGTTGTAGACGGGGAAGCTCGGCCGATAGATAGGAGAAAAGCCGAAAAGGAGGGAACTAACCCACCCCGGGTGACTGAAATCACGGAAGATTACTCCCAAAGAGAAATTACTGATTTGCTTAGTAGGTTTTCACAGCGATCAGGAGAGCCTGCAATCTCCTGGCTTGTAAGATTAAGTGATGGGGGAGCTGGAGGAGTGTGGCTAGACCCCAAGGATTGTCTAAAATTTTTGAGTTTGACCTCTATATTTTAATACAGGCAGAGAATAAAGAGGTGGTAGAGAAAAGATTAACTCAACTAATAGAACATATGAAGGAGAAGGGATGGGAGATTAATCCTGATAAAATTCAAGGTCCAGCTCAAAGTGTGAAGTTTTTAGGAATAATTTGGAATAAGGGTCATAGAGAAATCCTCCCCAAGGCCAAGCAAAAAATATTAGATTTTTCACCTCCTAGGGACAAAAGAGAAGCTCAAAAGTTCGTTGGGTTGTTTGGTTTCTGGAGAATCACATTCCTCATTTAGGTCAGATTTTGAAGCCATTGTATAAAGTTACCCGGAAAAAGTATGCATTTGAATGGGGGGAAACAGAATCGAAAGCCTTTGAGGAAGCCAAAATAGCTATTCAAACTGCCCTGGATCTTTGGCCTGTACAGCCAGGGCCGATGGAATTGCAAGTTACAGTTTTGCATGGATATGCTGATTGGAGTTTATGGCAAAAACAACAGGGCAGGAATGTTCCTTTAGGATTTTGGTCGCGGAAACTGCCACCTGCTGGCCAAAATTATACTCCTTTTGAACAACAATTATTGGCTGCATATTGGGCCCTGGTAGAGACAGAACATTTAACTTTAAACCATGAAGTTGTATTGAGGCCAGCCATACCCATTATGAGTTGGATTATGGGGACCCCCGCCTCACATAAAATAGGACATGCCCAAGAATCATCAATTATTAAATGGAAATGGTATTTGCAAAATAGAGTCAAGACAGGCAGATCGGGTATTTCCACCTTGCATGAAAAGGTATTAGAATTACCAAAACATTCAAATGATATTGATATACCACCAAAGTCTTATGATCAATCACCTGTTTCTTGGAATAATGGATATGATTCTCTAACCCCCGAGCAGAAGAAGCATGCTTGGTTTACTGATGGCTCGGCTAAATATATAGGATCTAAGCGATGTTGGAAAGCTGTAGCCTATAACCCTTCATGCAATACTATTTTGGAAAGCTCTGGTGAAGGCCAGAGTAGCCAATGGGCCGAATTAGTGGCTGTCTATCAAGTAATTCAAAAGGAACAAGGTGGCCAATGTTATATATATATATACTGATTCCTGGGCCGTAGCCAATGGCCTAGCAGTTTGGATGCCAATTTGGAAGAAACACGAATGGAAAATTAGAGACAAAGATGTGTGGGGAAAAGAATTATGGGAACAAATATGGGAATGGTGTCAATGTACTAATGTATCTGTATTTCATGTAGATGCCCATGTGAATCAAGATTCTGTGGAACGTGAGTATAATGCCCGTGCTGATGAATTATCCAAACTTCAAGGAAAAGCTTTAAAGGTCACCCCCAGAGAGGAAAATGAAACACAATTAGGAAAATGGGTCCATATCACCGCAGGACATCTTGGCGCTCTTGCATCTTACAGGTGGGCATTAGACAGAGGGATTAACATACCTCTGGATCTATTTAAGCAAATAGTACAAAACTGCATACAATGTCAATTATTTGCTCATCGGCCTGTGCCGAAGAAAATCACTGGAGAATTGGCTAGAGGGTCTTTACCTGCTCAAATTTGGCAAATAGACTATATTGGACCATTACCTGTTAGTCAGGGGTGTCAATATGCCTGCACTTGTGTGGACACCTACTCTGGGGTATTAGTTGCCTGCCCCTATAAACGGCTACCCAGAAAAACACTTGTAAAACCCTAGATATTATTTCTCTTTATTATGGGACCCCCCTACAAATACAGAGTGATAATGGTACTAAAGTTTGGATAAAGAAGCATCAATCTGATAGACCAAGGCCAGCTGAGCTCATAGCACAAGGAAACACTAATACTGCCATAGTAGTATACCCTGGTGATGATAAATGGTATCATGTCCCACTAACCCAAATGTTTTTACGATATTAAGTGTTTTACAGTGTTTGCCTGCTATACGCTAACTATGGCATGAACTCCAGGTATTCCAGTGGGGAATCCTCAGCAAGGACCGCGTACTGATTCCATCTACGCTGGTGAAAACAACACCCACATCATGAATTGGTCATACCCATTCAACGTAGAAGTTTGGGACGCCCCTTTATTTCCCCTAATGAGAATCAATTTAACTAGTTTTAATCTAACTGTAACTGCAGCAAACGGTACCAATATATCCTGTACCCTTACAAGTTGGCCACCTAGTCCATATTTTCCTAAAAGGT